TAGATGTAACAATAGTGTCGAAGGTAATGTATACTTTGTAGATGTAATTAAACACAAAACAAAATATTATTTACAAGTAACAATGACTATATATTTTTTGTATTAATATTTAGGATACAATAATCGTTTACAACACCGATTTGGTGCACATCCACAGTTGTGGTCTTTTATCCACTTTCTCAAAGTGAAGAAGCATTAGTAATGATGCGAACTGCACAAATACAAAGTGGTAATTATCATCTAAAGGCAATGCCGTTTTCATTTGGAAATGAACGAGCAAGAAAAAAACAAAACAACTAAAAAATTTATGGCGTTTGTTCCAGATTGGTAGAATTACTTTGAATAAATACATAACAAACTTATCTTGCTTTGTTGGTGAATCAACAATAACAAAAAAAAGAAAATCAAGATCCTGCAATTACAGGTGAAGATCATCATGTTGATGACAAAAATGGTGATTAATTTATTTTACTTTATCTTAGAGTTTTTTTATGTATCTATTCATATTTAATTTGTTTTGGTTGGATAGTATCGTAAATTATATTACAAAAAAAAATGAATATTATTATGTAGGTCTTTTTTCTGATATCTCGTTTTTGTTTGTTTACTCTCTAATGTTATTGTTTTTGTTCACAAATTTTCTTTACCTGTATTCTTTTTTTGGATATTGTTGATGCTAATTTTAGAAACTAAAATTACAGATAGTTTGTTATAGGACACCCAGCTCTTTTTAATTAATTAATTGCTCATTGTTTGTGAAATAAAGAAAGTCACATTCTCATATATATTGTGAATGTAGTTGGGAAGTATATTGTCGTATTGCCGGTGGAAAGCCGGCAATAAAACAAAAATATAAATCATACACGCTGTCCAAATTCTGATGGACAATGGACAACAAAATTCCCAGCAAAAAAAAATGTTGTCGTAATTCCATAAGAATTTTGACAATTGTAGAAATTTGCCAACGTTGCCCAAATTGTAGTAGAATTTCGACATGTTTCAAAATGCTACTACAATTTGGACATTGGCGAAATTCAGATGACGAAATTCTTTTTGTCGAAATTCCATAGAACCCAATTTTTTAGATACGATGACTTTTTGATTCGAACGTTTCAATAAGACATTACAATCGATATTTTGTGCTGTAAATGACGTATTGTAGAACGATCTAGATTTGATCATTCTCTAAAAAGTATTGAATTTTCAACGAAAACATTCTCCTTTGTTTCTCTCGTTGAAAACCGATCTTAAGCATAATATTGTCTTTCATCAGAATTTCGCCACAAGTGGAATATGAGAATAATCGATGTTAGAATATCGTCTTTTCCATAGGAGTATTCTCCATTTGAGCTCGAATCCAAGAACGAAAACGGTTCAATTCACGAAAGAAATAAAGAAATAATCCATTGTAGACAGAAAACGTTGTCATGAATAACTTTGAATTAAATCAGCCATTTGAAATTTTACAATCGTTCCTTGCAATGTTGAGAATTTAACAAAATATCTCTCTTCTTGCACATCACATTTCTATCAAGAGAAATTCGGAAACGAGCCGAAATTTCGAATGATGTTGATTTTGCAAAATTCAAATGAACTTTTCACTCTTTTCTCTCTATAGTCTCTCTCTCTCTCTTTCTCTTCTCTCTTATTTTATCATTTTATCCTCTCCTTTCTCTCTATTTCAGTCCATTCATTACGTGGGAGCTCCATTGACATTCATCCAAATGCTCGATGGCAACAGAATGGTCTCACTGTGGCTGGAGGAAATGGATATGGCAATGGAATCAATCAACTCTACAACCCATGGGGTTTGTATGTGGATGATGATCAAACAATCTATGTCGCTGATCAATCGAATCACCGTATTGTGGAATGGAAATGGGGTGCGACGAGTGGCCAAGTGGTTGCCGGTGGAAATGGACAAGGAAGTGGGGCTCATCAGTTGTCGTGCCCATTAGATGTGATTGTCGACAAAGAGAGAGATAGTCTCATCATCTCCGATTATTCGAATAAAAGAGTGGTTCGATGGCCTCGTCGAAATGGGACAAGTGGAGAAACAATCATCTCCAACATCGATTGTTGGGGTTTGACAATGGACGAGAATGGATCTCTCTATGTCACTGACAATGGAAAAGCTGAAGTGAGACGATATCGAAGAGGAGAATCTCAAGGAACAGTGGTTGCAGGTGGCAATGGAAGTGGAAATCGTCTCGATCAACTCTCTTGCCCCTACTACGTATTCGTCGATCGAGATCATTCAGTATACGTGTCTGATTGTGGAAATGATCGTGTGATGAAATGGGTGGAAGGTGCAAAACAAGGCATTGTCGTGGCTGGTGGTCAAGGAGAAGGAAATGGTCTTAGACAATTGTATTATCCTCGAGGGGTCGTTGTCGATCAATTGGGCACTGTCTATGTGGCTGATGCAGGGAATGCTCGAATCATGCGTTGGCCCAAAGGAGCCACACAGGGAAGTGTCATTGTTGGTGGAAACGGTAGTGGAGGACAATCGAACCAACTCAATTGGCCCATCGGTTTGTCACTCGATCGACACGGCAATCTCTATGTCGTCGAGTACGGAAATCATCGAGTACAAGAATTCAATATCGATTTAAAAACATAACAGATGCTGCCACTAGATCTTGGTGAAATGTGTTTTTCTCCCTGAGAATGATCGATTAAATAAACTATTGTGTGGATGTGGATGTGGGTGTTGAATATGTGTATTTGAATGGATGTGCGTTTTTAAAGCGTGCAGATGGGTGTATGTATCAAGTGTGAGTTGTGAGTTTGTGTTTCTGCGAACGTGGGTGTTGATGTAAGTGACTGACGAGAAAACATTCTCAACTGTTGGAGCGCATGCGAGTCAGAACTTAGCGCACCTTGTAGACCTTGATGAACTATGCTCATCATAGAAAGCGTCCATACCCGTGGCTTCTTTTTCAGTGATTGCACGCTTTTAAGGAATTTTTCTTACATGAACCGAAGTTTAGAGATGAATCGTATTTTCGAATTGTGATTTGAAACTTCGGTCACATACAGATGTCCTAGAGACTGGTTAGCATAAAAAATTTCAGAACTTCTGATTCATGTTTTTCTGAAATATGAAGCTTTCACAAGGTATCATCCGTTTTCGGTAGATAATACATAGAGCATGTATTTTTTGAGAACTTCAGATTTCAGATAGACGTAGCCCAAAGGTTCAGATATTTTTTATGCAAACTAGTCTCGATGATATCTTCATGTGGCCAAAGTTTCAGATCACAATTCGAACATATGGTTCTTCTGCAAATTTCGAGTTGCCGGAAGTTCGCCAATAGGAATTTCGCAAATCGGACTTTCGCCAATTGACGAAAGGTCACTAATTTTTCCAATATTGGTGAAAGTCCATCGAGCATTCATCCATTGAAAAGTAACCCTGACATTGATCAGAGAGATCATCAGATCATGACTAAATTTTTCTTGATGATTTTTCATATATCTTAATCTCGCTGTTTTTCTTCTTATTGCTGCTTTAGTTAACATCATTTTGTCTACTCTTTCTTTTTTACTCCAACATCTTATCTCTAAAACTTGATCTAATCATATTTAAACATATTCTAAGTGTATGCATCAGAGCCGAGTACATGATAATAATGTCACTAGACTTTTGCCAATATTGGTGAAAGTCTACTAGACCCTCGCTCAATAACGGACGAAAATTGACTGGATGTTCGCCAATTATTGGCGAAAGTCTTGTTGGCGAAGAGCGGGAATCCCCAAATTTCGGCTTCTATAAGAAAAATTTCCTAAAAGCGGTCAATCACGCAGAAAGAAGCCAAGGGGCATGAAAACTTTGTATGGGAAACACAGTTCACCACTATCTACAAGATGCGTCAAGTCTCGACTTGAAAGTGTTCCAACAGTTGGAAATGTTTTCCCGTGTGTGTGCGAGTATGTAACTGAGTGTGAGTGCTACTAAAAGCAAGATCTACATCCAGATCCACTCTCATAGTCACTATAGACACCACCACCCACACCCTATTCGATTTTATACACAATGACAGTTTTTAAAGAGCAGCAATTCGATTTATGAAGTTGACGAATAAAATACACGAAAGATTTAAGTATTTATTGAAGAATCAATATGTCCACTTTATGCGACAACTTTTGGAGCAGATCTATTCGTAAAAGAGATTAACAGCAGTGCTGTGCACGGGGCGTTACGTAACGTTTTGTGCACAGCTCCGATTAAAATGCAAATTTTGGTAAAATGGAATTCCGACAAAAATAATTTCGCCATCTGAATTTCGACAATGTCCAAATTGTAGTAGAATTTCGACATGTTTCGAAATTCTACTGGAAGTTGGGCAACATTGTCAAATTTCTACAATTGTTGATATTCTTATGGAATTAAGAGAGAATCTTTTTTTTGCTGGACATTTTATTGCCCATTTTCCATCAGAATTTGGACAATATCTATTCAAAAAAAATACATATAGAGGTATATATATAATTACTAAGGTTTTAATTTATATGACATCTAATGATGTGAATGCCGTGATATCACTATTTCTTTTTGAGTAGACATTTTTTTAATTTTTTTAAAACTTCGTATTTTAATCGAAACGAGGTCATTATTCGATACCCTTGATATTTTCTTTGGTAGTATGTGATGATGATTTTGTATTTCTTTTCGTTATCACATCGAATCATCTTTTAATACCCTCGAATATCTTTGTTAGCGCATGAACTAAATCATTATTCTTTTCGTTATCTATTATGTATATCCTTTGTTGTGCCTAGATCTAATCATATATACATATATATATTTCTTATAATGTATTTGTTCGTCGAGATGTAGAGCGAGAACATGCTGGTAGTTCGTCCGCTAGGATGCACGTGTATATAAGCTGTTCGTCCTGCCTATCTTTTCTTATATCAAATTTTACAATAACATCTTTACTTCTTCATTTCACAATCCATTTCAATCTATTTATTTAATTTATTGTTTATTATAAATGGTAGCCATTGCTCGTTCTGCTGCAGCATGTCAACAACAATCGCCAAATACAAATAACGTAGTTCTATCTGCTGGTGTTAGTAAAGTATATGGTAAGAAGAAGAAAGTAGCAAAACAACGTGCACCATCACCTAACAAATCTTCATCAACACAACCAGTCTTAACAACAACAACAACAACAATAACACCAGAAATATTTGGTACGTTTACATCTTTGTGACTACATATATCAAATTCAACTGTATGTTTAGATAATATATCATTAATAACACCAACTTCTTTATCAGAAATTGAACTATCTCATCATCAAAACAATTATCATGTTAATGCTATTACGAATGATGCTGAACAATGTCTTGATTTACCATCAACTTCATTTAATTCGAATAATAGTAATCAAGATGATGATTTATGTGAACTTGATGATGATAAAGAATTAGATACATTAACATCATGGCCAGTTGCAATCGGTGAAATCGAATGGTGTAAAACGAATCGTGGCAATGATAGACTATGTTGTGCGGATTTAATTATGATTTTATGTCACAATCTGTTAAAAAAAATCAACGTAATTTTCGTTGCTCAAGAAAGGATGCTGGATTTCGATCAGTTATTTATATCTCTATTGATTCAAATGGATATAAAGGTTCATATTATGCTGAACATAATCATCCACCAAATTATCATCATACCAAACGTTTATTAGTATTACAAAAAGTTAAAGACAGAGTGTTATTAGAACCTACACCAGTTACACGAATAATAGAAGATGAATATATAAAAAACAATTTGAACAATGAAGATCGATGTCACTTTTTATTACCACAAGCACAA